TGGTCCAGCAGTGGGAGTGTCAGCTCAAAGCCGTCCGTCAAATTACAAATATACTGCGAACATGCGTAATCCACCACAAGCAATGGCAATCCCTGCTCCTACTCCTGTTCAGCAAGCTGTTCATATTCAAGGCCAAGAACCACTAACTGCCTCAATGTTGGCAGCTGCTCCACCACAAGAGCAGAAACAAATGTTGGGAGAGCGTCTCTTCCCGTTGATTCAATGTATGTATCCGCAACTTACTGGAAAGATCACTGGAATGTTGTTGGAAATTGACAACTCAGAGCTCCTGCACATGTTGGAGCATAATGAATCGCTGAAAGCCAAGGTTGAAGAGGCCGTTGCTGTATTGCAAGCTCATCAGGCCAAACAGGCTGTGGCTTCTAAAAAAGAGTAAACATCTTAATTAGGGTATTATTTTATTCTTCCTTAATTGTTCGTAACAATGTTCAGTTTTTCTTCTTCATTCTGCGATTATCTTTGGTTTAAAAAATTTCTTCTGAAGCTTTATGGTGGCTTAAGCGATTACTACATGCAAGAATGACAGGAACAAATTGTTATTCAAAACTAATAATTGATCATGAAAGGGTTTTTCATCAAGTTTTATGATAATAAATTTTCCTTTAAAAGTATCAAATGAATTTATTCTTTCCCTGATAAATTTTACTTCTCTTACATATTAGGAAAATATTTAAATTATTTTCGTGTAATACATAACAGCAAGAAATATAATGAAAGTATAAAGAATAAATTATTTGAAGTGTTGGAACTGCAATTTGGCGTTCGTTGATTAGATTAGGAACTAAATTTAATTCCTCTTTCTTTTTATAGTAAACCTATGAAGATGGAAGAAAATATATTTTCGTAGTTTTTAACATTAGTTGTAAGGTGGTGATTTGTTTTTTTTTTTATATGTATAAATGTGTTTAGGTTTTTTATATAAGTACTTTATATGTTTAAAAATCGTAAGGAGCATGCCATGTGCTACCGATATTCGTAGTCACAACCAGGCACATACATACACACGCTGTTCCCACGTTCAACGGAGGGATCGACTTTGGATGTGCTCGATCGACACTCCGTTCATAAATGTCGACGCTAGCACGCAGAGCAACCTATTCTGAACCGCATATCTGCCTCCGTGGCAGCGAACGTGTTAAATGAATAAGTTTTCATCACAAAAATTAATTTTATTATTTTCACTATCTTTTTATAATAACTATCTTTTTATTATACATTGTGCTAGCAATATTAAAATTAAAAAATATTTTTAAATACTAATTAAATATTGGTAATATTTAAAATTATATATTTGTGAATCTTACTTTTTTTTCATGTAATTAAAAGTATTAAGAATACAGTGTTAAAGTACAGCAGTATACATATATACGATATGTACTCAATATATTACACAATCGAAAAGGCGGTGATTTCTTATTTAAAAGTAAGTTAAAAATGTAGATTCGAAATTTTGCCTTCTTCATTATTTAAAGTAACAAATGCCAAGTGTTCTTGATTTTTATTCCTACCACTAATTACGCAGTGATATACCAGTCCCAATCGATGCAGTAGGATGGATGACGGTAACGGGGTTCCGGAATCTCGGGGTCGTGTGACAAAAAAATACATTGGATGGATAGTCTACTCTGTATCTCGTCTGTAATATCATATACTCTTATACGCAACATAGAATTCTATATTTATTATATACATTAAAGAAACGAATTAGATAAGGAAAGGAATAGCGGTAAATAAGAACAGAAAGTTTTCAAAAGACAAATTAACGCCATCTCGTGTTTGGCCGCACGAACTGACGATTCGTTACTAGGAACACAGAATGACAACGGAGGTATTAGACAAGGAGAGCACTAGTGTGCGAGAAGGATAGAGAGAAAACGTTTCCTATTGGTTCGCGGAACTTATGCTCCATTTTCCACGCGCTTAGTCAAGTCAGCCAGGGAAGAATCATTAATAATTCATAATTTACGATAAATTGGTGAACTTTTAGGTTTGAAGAATGAAGTCTGGACCTGTAGCAACTTTCACATATAGATTTTATTGTGCTAGACCCTTCTAATAATTAGTTATTAACAATTTTAGTACGAGATGTCGGGAACGATACCTTTACGGTTTTTCAATCATTTCATAGCTTTCTACCTACTTCTCATACAATTAACTGCATTTATCTGAAAGAAGACTCCTTTTGTTATATTCTCGTATAATATTTATTAACATACCACTTGTAGTTTAAAAGTTATTAAACAGTATATGAGAGAGTCTTCTCTTCATCGTACTCGAGTATAGTCAACTCTTATAAAAAATTGCTAATATCTAATAAAGCATATCACGTATGCATGTAAAAATTATTACAGAATATACACAAAGGTCTATACTATATTCTACATACTTGAACGTGCAAAATTAATCGTGCATATTCGCGAAAATGACGGAAAACCTTTACGCTTGTCTAACTCATTACACTAGTACTATCTTTGTCTTTCCGTATTCCTTTCCTTGTCTTACTCATTTCTGTACCTCGACGAATTATTCTTCGTGGTAAGCATGATTACTGATGGTAAATCGCCATTTTCCAATAAGAATTACACAAAAATTAATCACACAAATCAACCAAAACTTTCTACATTAATCACACAAATTCCCTGTTACCCATTAAAATAGAAAAGAAATAAAAAAAATAATAAAAATTATGAAGTTTCAATAACTTAGAATACCTTAGAAATAACTTAGAAATTTACATTGGAATATTGTTTAAATAATTAGTTTTTTGCAAGAGGAAGTGGACGTGGGGTGTAAAGGAGAAATAAATAGACTGTAAAATGCTGTGAAATAATACTGGTATATTTTAACCATTTCTATAAACAAAAATATATTAGGTGTTAGATTTACATATCTTGTACCTCGATCAGTCTGTGACTGAATAATCTTTAGTTTTCTCTTTTTTTATCAACGTCCTACATTATCGACAGCTGATTGAAAATCATTTGTCTAAATTATTTAGCGACACCGCAACTTCCCCTCAAGCGGCAGCAGAGTATGAACGAAAAGTAGCGGGGATGGCTTACCGCCTATTTTCCCCTTATTTGGTCAAACGATGACACCAGAAGCCTCAAGTTTGCTTTGTCGGACAATAAGCGCATGGGCGTATCTGTTTTTGCGATCTTTGTATTACTTCTGGCGGTAATATTGTTCTCTTCGTCTTATATCTTAGAAGGGTACACCTCTTTCATACGTCTCTTTTTTGTCAATATGTTTTCTTTATCCTGTGTTTTACGACGAACGCCTTTTCTGTCTATTTTTTTCTGACAATATGCTCTCTCGTTGTGTGCTTTTTTTTAATTACTGCTGTACTGCTAAGTCATTAGCGACGAATTTAAATCGATTTTCTTTCACATTGGGGTATTTAGATGTGTAGTAGAAGTTGGTGTCTTTAGTAAGTTTGTGTTCATACCTGCTAGGCTAGAGACCGCTGCACGTGAACGTTATATCTGCCGTACCGATTCTGGCCTAACGTAACGTAATTACTTGAAAAGTTATAGAACTTTATAACTTTCACGATCATAATATAATAATGTTTTATCATAATGCAAATAATCAAAATTCAAATTTATCCATATTTTGCACTCCAACCAAAAGTATTTGTACACAAATTTACATGAAAATAAATTAACATCTTGCATGAAAAATTAACAAAAAGTACGAATTTTTAATACATTATTTAAACAAATGGTTTTTTTCTCAAAAATAATTATGTAGGTAAATTTGTCATTGAGAAACACATAATCTCTATATTTAAAACATTCCTCTATTTGCAGTATTTTCCGAGATATTGGAACAAATATGTTTTAATACCCCAACTTTAAGAGCTGCTTTCACCACCTTAATCCTACTTAAACGATATGCGGAAGCCACCAGTACAATAGGGCTACCATGCCTTGCAAACCTCATCTGTTTTTTTCTTTTACAACTCTTCATTTTCCCTTTTTAAATTGCCTTACCTGTACATGTGGCAGCCAGATTAAGATAGATTTAAGGTTATCCGAAGGTCATAAAATTATAGTTCATTGAATTTGTATTTATATCCCTTATAATACCATGTATAAAAGGTACCATGTTCTACCTAAAAAAATCTAAATGACTTCGAAATTTAAAAAGTAATGAGATACATAAAAAATTTGATTTAAGTGTATAAGACGCTTCTTTGAACAGAACATACGTCCCCTGAAACATTTTCTCTTATTATAACTTTTAAACTAATAATAAATTTTCAGAGGAAGTTTAAATTACTCATTTTTAAAAGGGTACATATTTTTGCGATTAAATTTGTTTTAAATGAGTGTGATTATTGTGATTATCGGATGTGCGCCACCGTTGATATACCATGTTTTCGTTTCCGAGTATTCGTTTCATAGATATTGCATCAATATCGACCGAGCGTACGTTTTGGCGATAACTTTAAGGCGGAGTAGGGATTTCGCAGAAAGGGCACTGCTGCCGAAATGTCGTACGTCGTAACGTACTTACGTGTTTTGTTTAAAACAGGCAGTTGATTTGGAACATCCACCGAATAAACTTCATATACATATGTATATGTATAAACTGAATCATCTTGCAACATCGTTGCCTTGTTTAGTTTCCTTTCTTTCTCTCTGTTTATTCCGTTTCCCTCTACATAATATATAAAAAATTGTAATTATGAAAAATATTTTTACTAAATTTCATAGAAATCGAATAATAAAATAATTTTAGGATGATTTGGTACATTTCAAATATGCAGACATTTTAATTTTTTTTGTATTGCTTTTGTACAAATAGATAATAATATTGAATTGCTTCAACGATTATAATAGGTTCCAGCTTGCTGTAGACTAAGCTGTTTTCTCTAAGAATACACCCAAAATATTTCAATAGCTTTGTGCCGATTGAATTTTAGACTCTACCATAAGGAACAGACAACGGGGAAAGTATCCTTTCTCCAATTTCAGGTCAATGCTACAAAAAGGGAACGATGTCTGTTTTACTTTAAGAGTTGCCTGTTTTTATTGCCGCCTATGTAATTTGCCAAATGGCATTTGACCCGTAATTTTAAAAAGAATTGTTAAATGTCGTTTGGTTAACATCTGCCAGTGAAAAAAATTCTACATATTCAGCAGATCTGCGTTGAGTGATTAAAATTGATCATGATGTATTCAAACTTCTTTATTTGTGCACGAGTGCTATTTCAATAATTTCCTACTAACGAGTTTTAATGAAAGAATTATATTCATAGTGTCTTTATTGAATTCTTTTGTGTAACGATAAAAGTTTAAAATATCGTGCACGTTACATAACCTACACAAGAACAATATTTTAGTGTTTGAAAAAGATTTAACAATATTTATTTGACAATTATTTATCATCAATACTTTTATTTCGCTGATGATATTTACAGCTTTATTATATTACAAGTGCATTTTCTTTCTATAGGAAGAAGGTTATGTTTTAATTATGGTTTGTAATATTTTTAGATAATATGAGTGTTATACTTCAAGTGTAAGCTGTATAAGCATATTACAGTAAACGATGGTGAAAAAACAAAGATTAGATTTCAATGCATAATAAG